ACGACGAGTGAAGTGAAATCCCTCCCGATAATGTCAACGCTATTCTGTAGCATAAATCTGAGAATTGTAACACTTCAGACGAGATTATCGCCCTGGTTTTCGCGAAAAAGCTTGTTTTTTCCTACAAAGGTTACAAAAATTAGCATACCTCATCACATTGGAAAGATCAACGGCTACTCAATGTTGTTGAAAAAAGGAAAAATAACGAAGTCAATACCTCGTCACTGATGGTCTCTGGTGTGATTGACTGGCACAGGTGGCCGCATTGCTCGACAATCTGAAAGAAACATACTCTATTTGCGACAAAGCTAAAGTAACCAACATTTGTGAGGACATGGTCTATGATCTCCATATCCGCAACGCTTCCGACTTCAAACACCCTTATGACGGCGGTGAGAGAAGCTTTGGCACATCGAGATCCATATGGTTCATCTCTAAACTACGACCGTCGCATAGTGAACAACGCAAAACAGAAGAAAGAAAGAAGAGCACCTTACGTAGTCCAGAATAACGACAAATGATTTCTGTTTCAGAAGAGATGGGAAATCGTTGCCTCCATATTCTAACATATTTTCGACCATTGTTGATATGCGTTCGAAAATATTCGGTCGGATCCTGAAGTTATTCATATGACTCGAAGGAAGTGGTGTTATATATACTCGAAATTCACGAGATCGGGTAGGCGTGGCTGCGTACTTGATTTTAAAATGGCGGGGGCCCAGGTCATTTCGAAGCAGTCGTAATCATGTCTACATCTAACACAGAACAAGATAGCAGTTGTTTCAAATTGAAGTATCCCACGAGAAACCCGTCCTATGCCATGCTCAAAAGCCACGCCTACTCCGTCTCAGGGATAAGGAGTGTATGTACAGGCAAATGATGCCGATTACCACTGTCCAGTATAAAATTTCGGATCGGATCCCACTCCCGCCAACTAGGCTTTCCATCATTGCGAGGGCGACTTTCTTTTACCAGGCTTGTCTGGGAAGATTGGAAAGGCTGCCTTGTACATTTACTGCCCAGTCAACGTATAGACAAAACCCCATTTCAAAGTCATCACCACGATTCTGAATGGAACTGGAATGCGCGGCGGATACCGAAACAGAACAGACAACGTCGGAGCTTCTTTCCTCCCTCATGAGTATGGAGATCACTCAACTGATTCAATAATTCATACACACAAAAGAAAACTAACTTTGATAGTGGACAACTTTTGCAGTGTAACCTCACAAAGATCAGAAAGTTCTGCCAGTGTGAAATACCTGAAAAAAGAACCATAAGTTTCATAGCAGATCGGAAATCCGATGTCAACAACCTTGGCGGAGGAGGCATGTATAGAGATCCCGTGTGCAAAAATGGGACCACCACAACTAAGACGAAGGGTTTTACTAAAGCCCGGGGAAGGTGAAGGGGAGGCAGGGAGCTCCTGGATAGGTGAACCAGTTTTGAGTCCAACAATCCAATTTTTGTTGGGCTGGTCCCAATTTTGCTTAAGGAGCCCTTTATATGGCCTCGTATAATCAGCACCGGAAATTTCATAGTTGAGAAACTTACCGACTGATGAACTTACTCCATATCGCCCCACACTTCATGTAATCTTCCTTTTCGAAGCGTGAAATGTATGGCCACACCAAACTGTAACATAGACCTATAAGATGACCTGAGCTCAAAAGTATTCAACCATTCCTACCTCAGAACTTTCGGTGGTACACCATCTTCTAGCTGGCCCTGTAGCAATCGAGACCCAAAAGTTTCCAGATCTGCGGGAGGAAGGGACTGAGTGACGATCTGTAAGCAGCGCACGGTTCCACAACATTCGTGACTGAACCTTTCTCCAGAACGATTATGAAACAACTCACAAGTTCGCAGAATTCAGCACAGTGATTTAAGAGGTACTTGAGAGATACTCCAATTACAAAAGCATGAATAAGTGAACTGTGTTTTTCAGGCTTTCTGCAATACTCCCACAGCGGTCCCAGATCTTCGATTGTTGCAGCACCATACGAGACGCACTGGACAATCCATTCCAGAGCAGGAGTAACAGATTCGGTCTGAACCGATACAAAATTATCTTGTTAGTTGATTTCCCGATAAGACTTCAAAGGCAGCTCAAAGTATGGTTCAATTGGCTGGTGTAAATAAACGGGACAAGGGGCAAGAAAATGAAGCGGCGTCTCATATTTTGCGAATGTGGAGAATCCGCGAATCGGACGAAGGTGCGATTTTTGAGATCGTGACCGATTCTCTATTCTTCGAAAAGGTTTGAGGGCCCAGTGAATCAATTCCCACTTGTTCCATTGACGTGGATTGATTAGCGCCTTCCCGTATTCGCAAATTCTCCCTGTTCGCAAGGTTTGAACGCGACCTATTGGGTACAAACAAGTTGAGCGGGGGTAAACACCTCTGTTCAACTGATAAAAATGGAAGTTTTGCGGCGCCGCCGATTATGGAAAAGGGAGGGAGGAGAATATAGTGCGCGTAATACAGAAAAAAAAAATCGAGGGATAAGAAAAATTCTTGCAATCCAAATAGGTCCCTCTCTAAGTTGCCGTTAAAGGCAGTTGGCACGATGGTTTCCTAAGCCTAAAATGCTAGTAGGGCGCTGTATAGTGGGGAAATGGCGAAAGAACGGAGTGAAACGGTCAAAATCCTGCGAAAAAGCCTCCGTTCTCAGTGACTTGTAAATCGATTTCGGACGAGTTTCCCGTACGCATCTTGCCAATCACCGCTACCGAAGATACGGCTGCATATGTGTACCCATATATGCATGCAGCATCACGGCCGCTTCATACCAATCCCTTCGCTTCATAATTTGCTTAGCAAATGAATGAATACGAGCGTCAGGAACGGTCGTCCATTTGTGGGCGGGCGGGCGTTTGGGACGTAAAGTTGTGGCTTGATAGGGCCCTTATAAGGGCACCTTCCTCGGGGAAACCGCTATGCAGCGCCTGCCCAGGGTCGCGGAATTCTATCCTGCCAGGAGTATTGATCCTAGTCGTCTTGGGGGATTTATCGTGCCAACTGCCTTTAACGATTTCGAAAGAAATTGCAGAGAATGTGGAAAACTGCTGCTTGCTCATACCTACCTAGAGCCGAAGCGATAACGCCAATGTAAAGGAAACAAGCGACTCCGAATATTAGCGTACCGGTGGCTTAGAAGACTGCAGCAAGTCATTTAGCGCTTTCCAATGTGGACCTCGATCTGCTGGGTCCAAAATCATTGCTGTCTTACAGATGTAAGCACGAGCATATGCAGCTGATAACGGATGAGGGAACTCTGAAATCATTTCAAAAAACTAGCTTTTGACAACTGGAGGAACCTCTGAAATACTCACTTTCAATCATGGTAGCAAGTCGAAGGAGACTGGCTCTCAACGAAGTGCTGTCTAAGAACTGCTGGCATCCGATCAAGGTTGTTTCTACTAAAAGCGACGGAAT